TGCCGGCCCGGTCACTGACTACAATTCAGTTATATAGGTACCATACTAAGTGTACTAGTTACATAGGTAGGTAAGTGTAGTTACATCACTCCCCCCCCCCAAAAAAAAAGAAAATAGGGTTGTTACATGCTACATTTCACTTATTCTAAAACGTTTGGGATGACTACGAATAGATTTACTCTTACAAACTAAATTATCAATGAGAGAATAAAGGGATTACAAAATTAGGATAGCTCAACCAGGATTATCTTCTTGACCTTCGCCTAGAGGGTGCTTTTTCTTCTTCATCTTCACTGTCTGTCCTGTGTCTTCGTCGCGTGACTGTGGGGTATCCTAATTTCATAAGTTTTGATTTCGTATCTTCCGACATCTCTCCAAGTTCGGATGCAACTGACTTCTTAATATACTTATCTATCATAAAAGCATGGCAATGTGGGTCTGTGACAGCTGGAAGTTCTCGCCGACCAGCTTATTCAGTTTAGAATATGCTATAGCCGCGTAGTATAAGTCAGGGAAATAGGCATGATTCAGTTCTTGACGGCATGATGGGTTTCTTACTCTACAAAAAGCAATGTTGGGATCCTCAGCTTGGGCCTTTGTCCACCTGGACTGTAAGAGCAAGGCCTGGTCAAGCACTGCAGGTATCTCCAAAGCTCTGCAGTGTGACTTCGTGAATGCAATTCAGTTATATAGGTACTATACTAAGTGTACTAGTTACATAGGTAGGTAAGTGTAGTTACAACGTGTATTGATATAGTTGTGTAGCATGTTTAAAACTCTTAGTATATGGTTGGGCGACGGGCCTAAGTGATCCCGAGTTGGATTCCCAGGTTGAGCCTTGACCTTATTGTGCAAGATGTTATTGAACTGTATACGCGATGGCTTCTTATGCCTCAACAAGATGGCGGATGTGGCACGCGGCACCTTGGACATTGCACTCGCTCTTCCAAAATCTATTGCTTGCCAAGGTTAGAAGGGAATTCTACTTGAGCACATTAGGAGAAACAAAATGGGGCGCGTTAACTAATAAACAAAATGCTCAAATAGGAACAAAAATTACGGGAAACACACTTACCGGGGTGTGATTCTGATTCAGACGATGCTTCCGTTGCAGTGATGCGATGTGAGGTGGGTTTTTCTGGGGCGCCCCAGAGATGTGATCCAGGCTAGTGGTGCGAAGGAAGAGAGCGGTGCGCGACGATATCTCACACTATGTGAGGCGGTTACTTCTGGAGCGCGACTGCTCCAGGTGATGCGATACAGACTAGCGGCACGTGGCAAGAGGACGCTCGAGGGCAGCGCGCGAGCCTTTATTGCCTCGGCTTTCCCACCAAACACCTCGGTCGGGCGCGCTTCTCATTGGTCGAAAGAATCGCGTCACCTTCTAGACTCCCCCTTTTCCCCTTTCAGTGTGTACGGAAGGGATATTAGGTCAAAGGATGGGTAAACGCTTGGCAATATACCCTCGAATAAAATTAAAATACACGAATCGTTTCCGCGTAACCATCCCCCCGGCTTGAAGGGTCCCCTTCAAAATAACTAACGCTAAGATTAAACCTAATTTTCGACTACAATTTCTAATCTAGAAAGCTAATTCAAACTATTGAATGGGCAAAGGGCACAAACGGACAACAGGGCGCACGTAAGACCCAGTCGTGGTCCTAACGCGAGCTACCCTAGTTACTCCGGAAAAACTTCTTCGACGATCCCTAATGGCCAATGGAGAGGCGGCGTCTTCTCCTTGGTGAGCACAACCACAGTTCCGACAGTTAAGGGTTCAGTTGTTGCGTTCCAGTTTTGCTGAGACTGCAACGTATGCAGGTATTCCATTTTCCATCGTTTCCGAAACGACTGCACCAACCGGTCCAATAATTTATGGTGGGCAGATATTTCAAAGGCGTTAAATTCAAAAAATGCGCTGGAGTTAGAGCCAGCGGCTCCGAGGGGTCACTTGACAACCTACGACAAAGGGGGCGACTATTCATGACGCACTCAATTTAAGCGAGTACAGCACTTAACTTTTCGAAGGACAAAATTTGATCTCCTATTCCTCGGTATAAATTACTCTTTAGACTCTTAATATTAGTCTCCCAATTTCCCCCCAAAATGGCTCGCGGCCGGGACGTTCAGAGACCACTCAATGCGGTTCTCGGCTAGGATGTGAGCGAACTTCGAAATATAATATTTACTGGTTAAAAGCTCATGTAGTTCTGATAAAATACGTTTCGCGCCGACGTATTTTGTACCGTTACCTGAATACAATTTACTTACAGGGCCACGTCGGGAAAGAAATCTTTTAAATGCACCCATGAAGCCCGCTCGGCTTAGATCACCAACGAGTTCTATACGCACAGCCCGAGTAGTCAGACATACGAAAATGCAAACGTAAGCTTTTGTGGATCTTATACCACGCCTGCGAGTGAGCGTGACCTTAACGGACCAGCAAAGTCAGACCCGGTGTGCATAAAGGGCATTACGGATTGTGTTACTCGACATGACCTAAGGTCCGCCATCTCCGGAAACGACGGCTTAGGACGTACTCGAAAGCAAGCCATACATTGTGCGCCCGATTGCGGATTAAATTACGTGCTGAAAGAATCCAATAATTCTGACGCAAGATTGACATCAGCAAGTCGGGGCCAGTGCGCGAATTCAATTTATGGTGATAATCTACTAATAAATTCATGATATGGTCCTTACGCGGTAAAACTATAGGGTGCCGTTGGTCGAAACTCAACTGCGAGTTAGATAAGCGCCCACCTACCCTGACGATTCCATTCCATTCCATTGTAAAAATGGCTTAAGACGTTGAAAACCACGACTACAAGTTCTATTCGATTGTAATCTTGTAATTTCATCGGAAAAATGCGCACGTTGAAGTTCGCACAATACTAGCAACTCGGCATAGCTGTAATCGGACGCTACGATATACAAACGTCGCGGCAGAAGCTTCGCGAATCGACAAACGTAAATCACGATATGCAATAATTTCGACCAAGAGGACAAACAATTCGCCAAAACAATGATTTTAGAAACCTCGCTCGAAACGTTCGCAACCAGAGCATGCCTCTTCTCTTCCGGTGGTTGGGACACTGACGAAGGGTCGAAATCGGTTATTGGCCACTGCGAGGGTTCCAAGTGAACCCAAGAAGGTCCGCGGAACCAAAGCGGATGGGCCATTATTTGCATCGGGGTGAGTCCACGAGATAGACAATCGGCAGGGTTTTCCGTACCGGACACGTGATAAAAGTTCCGCGATCCTAACTCGTCTTGGATCTTGACCACTCGGTTCGCGACAAACGTATCCTGACGGTGGAGTGAAGAATGAACCCAACATAAAGCGACGGTTGAGTCAGAAAAGGCAAACATTCTTTCTATGTGAACTCTGTCACTACATGCACTGGTAACTGCGGTGATTAGCTTGGCAAGGACTAATATCGCGCAAATCTCTATGCGCGCGAGAGAGACAACCTTACGGGGGGAGACTCTTGACTTAAAGCTAATGAGGCTGATCGAATTTCTACCATTATTCTGGACGTGAAAATATACAACGCCCCCGTAAGCCTTCTCGCTAGCGTTTGCAAACCCAACGACAGTGACGACGCTATTTCTATCGACGTTTATATGACGTGGTATTTTATTCTCGCTTAGTAAAGGAAGTTCCTCTCTAAAACGTAGTCACGAACGAACAATGCTATCAGGTGGCGGGTCATCCCAATCGCATTCACATAACCAAAGTTGTTTAATCAAAAGCTTAGCGTATAGCACCACCGGTGCTACGAAACCCATGACATCCCATAATCTAGCAACGCACGATAGCATTGTGCGCTTTGTGCACGTTTCTGCGGGCGGGTTTACCTTAAGGCTAAACACTTCGGACTCCGGTGACCAACATAAACTGAGCACCTTGTGCGTATCAGAATCGTCGAATTCCTTCATCGCCGAAAGGCGGTGTGATAGTGGGATTGTATCCAAAACCGTACGCGAATTACTAGTCCACTTGACGAGATCGAATTGACTCGATTTCATGAGTTTTATAACCTCGGCGGTGGTTAGGATGGCCTCCTCCACGCTATCGACCGAGTACACAAAATCATCCATATATAACCCACTCTCAATTGCCTTCTTAGCTTTAGGATAAGAGGGACCTTCATCAGAAGCGAGCTGTCTCACCGTGCGTAGCGCATGAAATGGGCTCGACTTTAAACCAAAGCAAATACGATTAAATTCAAATACCATTAGAGGTTCCTTTGGGTCAAAGAGATATAAAATGCATTGAAATCGACGGTCGCATTCACGGACCCCTATGCAAAGAAACATTTGGCGAATATCGGCGGATAGTGCTATACTGAACAAACGAAAATTTGCTATTATATTAAATAAATTGCCCTGTAAATTTTGCCCACTATAGAGAATATCGTTAAGAGAAAGGTGAGTGCTAGTTCTAGCACTAGCATCGAGCACTACACGTAACTTGGACGTAAGTTTGTCTTCCCTAATGACACCGTGATGTGGTATGAAATACGACGGCGCGTCTTCGTAGTTATCTAAATTTGGAGCCACAAGTGATATGTAACCCTCCCTTATATATTCATTAATGATGCCGTCATAAGCTTCTTTTAATATGGGCGAAGCGAGCATCCTGCGCTCCAAACAATAGAAACGTTTTTCCGCCATTTGACGCCAGTCGCCGAGAGACAAAACATCTCCTTTAAAGGGTAGCGCTACACTATATCGACCGTCGCGATCACGAACGGTCGTACGGACGTAAATTTCCTCGCATAATCTATCATCTGAGCTAACTATAGGTGGAACGTTCACCTCCTCTATCTCCCAAAATTTGCAAACAAACGACTCGAGCGGTTCGACAGCTATACAACAATAAGAGGTTGCCGAAATATTATCCATGATAGGGGCCGAACCAACAATGACGTAGCCCAAGGCGGTCTCCAGTGCGTAAAGCGCGACATGCGACAGATGTTGAGGAATGAATTGATGTCTCACGTTCGTCGTCCAAGGTCGTGTGTCACCTGAGTAGACTCATTGTTGCGGCTGTCTAAATGTAGACCAGATGTTGACGGCTGATTAAATGATTCTTCTAAATTAGAGTCGTTTTTCTCCTGGGTAGAATCGGTTTCGTTCGCACCACTAAGAATATCATATAGCGTCATACCTTCATACGTATCTAAATTATCCGGTTCTTGTTCGTATTCGTCCTCCGAAATGTCGGGGTCGTCGGGTAAGCCAAATAACTCGTCCAGTGCATTTTTTATGTCGTCATCAGACAATATTTTCGGCATTTTCACCTGCAGTAAATACTGTAATATTATTATCTACACGGGCAGTGGCAGATATATTGCCACCAGTTAAATACAAAATTTTATCAAAATAATAAACGTAATTTTACAAAATACTACTCGATCGTACAAGTGACATACGTAATTATTGAAATAAATGAAAACTCTTACCAGTTTCCCAAAAGATTTTAAAGATTGAGCTAGATTTGTTACACGTTACACAAAATCACCGGTTTTTACCCTTCAAAGTTTGAAAAGTGTCAATTGAATTTGACAATTCCCACACAACAAAAAAATATACGTTGACAGGACATCTCAAGCTTGCCAGTAAAAAAATAAATACCAGAAAGATAAAGTTGCCCGAAAAAAATTCTAAAATTGGTGGCAATATAGTGGCCACTGCCTTAAAAAAGGGTTAAGGCAGATATGGCAAAAGATTTTTTATTACATTTTAATTTAGGACGTTTTAATTTAGGCTTTTTAGTTTTAGGTTTTGATTTTGAATGTGGTTTATTGTAAACAGTGAAATTTGTGGATGTAGAAGGTGTTGTGGTCTTGATGGAATCAGTGGACATAGCAGGTTTAGTCGTCTCGAGAGAGTCAGTGGATGTAGTAGAGATTGTAGTAATAGTCAGTGGATGTAGAAGGAATAGCATTTTTTGGAAAACCAAGGGTTTGGGGCTGGCTACCCTGTTCGTAGGTTTCCGTTTGAGAACTAGAATTTGTGAATATTGAGTGATGTGTAGTACTTAAGTCCCTAGTTTGTATAGACACATTTTTCAACTCTGTTTGACACTTAAGCGGTGATTTAGAAGGTACGCTGTTTGTTTGCGTAGTGTGATTTCGATGGTTTGGCGGTTGAGGACGCATTTGAGAAATAGGATTGGATTTACTAGAGATTATATTTGTAGGTTCTCGATATCCTGAGTTGGGATCGGTGAGCAGGATACTGAAGCGATTTCCAACGAGTTGCTCATCTCGTTGGTCGCTTGGTAGTTTAAATGGTTAACTGGGATAGGAGGCGCAGGAAGTGCGCGTTGGGCTTGATTTTATCTTAAGTTATTATTATAAGTTCTTTTACGGCATTCTGTAATATTATGCCCAATATTTTTACAATAACTACATAATTTCGTAATTTGTTGCGGTGTTTGGCATTATTGTACGTGTTTTGTGTAAATGGTAGATGAGTTCGATTTATAGGCTTACTTGAATTACTATTATTATAATACAGGGTGGGCCTTAACTGTATGAGTGGTTTGAATATGCAATTTTTTTTATAGAAGAAGGGGCAAACGAGCATGCGGCTCACCTGATGTTAAGTGACTACCGCCGCCCATGATCAACCGCAACACCAAGAGAATTGCGGGTGCGTTGCCGGCTCTTTAGAAAGGAGTAAGCTCTTTTCTTGAATGTCCCCGGGTCGTATCGGTCCGGAAAGATCGCCGGTGGTAAACTATTCCACAGAGAGGTTGTACGTGGAAGAAAACTCCTTGTGAAACGTACAGTGGTGGACTGCCAAGCATCCAGATGGTGTGGATGGTATCGGGACGTTTGCCGTGTAGTGCGTTCACGAAATTTGGCGGCTGGGATTAACCCGAACAATTCCTCAGAGCACTCCCCGTGATAGATACGATAAAATACGCAAAGAGATGCAACATCTCTTCACAGCGCCAGTGAATCGAGCCGATCGGAAAGCACTCGGTCGTCGACGATTCGAGCCGCTCTGCGCTGGATGCGGTCAAGTGGAAGGAGCTGGTACTGGGGAGCCCCAGCCCAAAGATGGGAACAGTATTCCACCTGCGCCTTGTAAAGTTGCAGGCGGTGTGCCGGCATGAAATACTGTCACGCTCTGCTGAGCACGCCAAGCTTTTTAGAGGCCAATTTGGCCTCCCCTTCCAAGTGACCACGAAACTGCACGTCACCCGATATGTCGACGCCGAGGATTCTGATACTGGCTGAGGCAACAAGGGGAGTGCCTTGAAACTGAGGGGATACGACAAAGGGGTTCTTTTTAGCGGTTAACGCGCAAACTTGTGTCTTCTGGCGGTTAAACTGGACTAGATTTAGTCGTCCCCAATCCGAGACTCTGTTCAGCAAAGACTCGACTTCAGACACAAGTTTGTCCCGGCACTCGGACACGTTTTCCCGAGAAATCTTCGCTCGGCCGGTGTAAAGAGCATCACCAGTGCTGTCATCTGCATAGCAATGATTGTTACGGGTGTAGCGGCGCTGTCGTCGCGCCACAATCGAAATACACGGAAGTCTAAATCACGCTATCAACATTCCGAATCAGAAACAGTATATATAGAACATCTCCGAACTATCACATGGAGTGTTGGCCGCTCCCCGGGCAGAACACCTTGCCCGGCGGGAGATCTCCCCTTTTCCTTCCACGGCCACAGTGGTGACCCCGACGTGATCTGAACACGCAACCAACAACCTTCGGAAACTACAAGCTTCATAATCGTCATAGAATACCCCACCCATTCGCTCCCGAGCAGATATCATTTGCAGTCTTCATATCCTGCAAGCCATCTAGCTTCACAAGGTTCATCGCAGCACTGGAATAATAATGCTTCCTGTTCCTTCAAGCTACTCTCTGCGCCATACAGTGTTCGGCACGGCTCTGAGCCTTACTGCTCGCCTCTGCTTCACGGCACTCTCGCAGATTACTTGCCTTCTTCTCGACTCACCGCAGACTACAAGGCAATCTCCTGGCATTGCACTTTCGTCGACAACGAGACTGCACTATCGACCTCCGGTCTGAGCAGCGGGGTGATGTAGCGGCGCTGTCGTCGCGCCACAATCGAAATACACGGAAGTCTAAATCACGCTATCAACATTCCGAATCAGAAACAGTATATATAGAACATCTCCGAACTATCACATGGAGTGTTGGCCGCTCCCCGGGCAGAACACCTTGCCCGGCGGGAGATCTCCCCTTTTCCTTCCACGGCCACACGGGTATGCAACATATCATTGATATGCAAAAGAAACAGCGTTGGCGATAGCACGCAGCCCTGTGGAACACCAGCATTAATAGGCTTGCAATCGGAGCTTGCACCGTCTACAACGACCTTGATGCTCCGATCTGCAAGAAAACTGGTGATATAATCGCACAATTTCTCGGGAAGCCCATAGGAAGGGAGCTTCGAAAGAAGCGCTTTGTGCCAAACCCGATCGAAGGCCTTCGCAATGTCCAAACTAACGGCCAATGCCTCCCCCTTGAACTCTACTGCCTCCGCCCATCTGTGAGTGAGGTAGACCAGAAGATCACCAGCTGACCGACCACGGCGAAAACCGTATTGGCGGTCACTAATCAGCTGGTGATCTTCAAGGTACCTCATGAGCTGGCAGTTTACAATGTACTCCATTGTTTTGGAGAACAAGAAGGTGATGGCGATTGGCCGGTAGTTGGACGGGTCTGAGCGGTCGCCTTTTTTAGGGATCGGGTGGACGAAAGCCGTCTTCGCCTAGGGAGTATGAGTACCGGAAAAGACGCGTTAAAACCGGTGCCAACTCTGGAGCACACGTCCTCAGCACAATTGGGGGGATTCCGTCAGGCCCACTCGACTTGTGGATGTCCAGGGAGAGGAGTGCTTTGCGAACCGAGCGCTGTGTGAACTGCACTTCCGGCATGGAGCACTCACACCGCGGGATGGTCGGTGACGTACTCCCCCCGTCATCGAGAGTCGAGTTAGACGCAAAGAAAGAGCCTAGAAGATCGGCTTTCTCCTTTGCAGTATTTTGTAGTAGTTTTGTACTTTCTACTTTGTACGTTGGGATCGTCCCGCGAGAAGCAAACCCGCCCCCAAGGGTAGGATGCAAAGAAAGACCGCATCCCATCCCAATCGGCTGACCTATAGTGCCAAACAGGGCGGCAGCCTGCAGAATGCAACCGCGATTTCAGCGTGAGTGGCACAACACTCCAGACCAGACAATTGTCCAAAGAGCCTAAAGGGGCGTCGACGGAAATCTGATATCCGTCCGGGTGAGAGGTCAGCAAAGGTCTAACAGGGAAGGTGCATAATCCTCCACATCTGGGATCCGCGTAGGCGAAGAAACCAGTTGTGTCAGACCATATGCCAAGGCAAAATCATGAACAGATCTCCCCGCATGATCGGTTAAACGTGAACCAAGCCATTCGGCGTGATGGGCGTTAAAGTCGCCGAGGATCACGATCTCTGCGGAGGGGATCTGCTGTAGCAACGAATCTGCAGCCATTTGGACGTGGTCGAAGAGTCGGTCTGTTTCGGCATTACCGCTATAGGACCTATAGAGGCACTCGTAGACGCGCGGATGGTTGTCGCTGTCTACGCGTAGCCAAAGGATGGACAGGTCCGAACCTTCAAGTCTGCCGAGACGTCGAGAACAGATGTCCTCTCTGACGTAAACGCAAACTCCAGCACGAGGCACAAAGGAGTGTTCCAGTTTGTACCTCGGGTAGGAGTGATACAAGACATCAGCCGGAGAGTACACCTGCGTCTCGGTCAGAAAGAGCAGAGCCGGCTTCGCCGTCTCGAGATGGTAGTGGACGGCGTTTAGGTAGAGTGAAGTCCCCTGATATTGCAGAAATTCACGGACAGCGTGGCAGGGGTCGCCTTGGTCTTGTTGCTCCGTTTGCCCCGAGCAGTTGTATTCTTGAGCGGAATTTTGCCCCCCCCCCCCCAGAATACGCGGGGCAGCCTGAGCACCCACGCTCAGAAGTGGAGAAACATGGTCGTGGATGCTCAGCGAGGGATTCTCCAGGGGTGCTGGTACCCTCCTGGGGTAGTCTATCATTATTTAATTCCGCTACCAAGTTGATGGGGGGGGGGGGGGGGATTTGGGCCTCCGGCCACCTGCACTAATCTAATAAAAAAATTTTGCAATAAAAAAATAATTATAAATCTTATTGTCTTTTTATTTATACATTTAAAAAGTACAGGAAATTGAAATTTCAGTGACATCTAATTTTTAAAAATAATGTAGTTAATGTAATAAGTGACCGCCACCAGCTTTTTGACATTCTTGTAGTCGCACTCGCAAATTTTGAAAAACACGTTGATAAATTGCTCGTGGAATAGCATTAATTTCTCGCACAATGTTTTGCTTGAACTCTTCAACTGTTGTTGGATTATTTTCATAAACTCTTGCTTTTAGGTAACCCCACAAAAAACAATCATTAGGAGAAAGATCTGGACTCCTTGGAGGCCACTCAATGTCTCCTCTTAGCGATATGAGTTTTCTTGGAAACATTTTCTTCAGCATGTCTATTGAGACTGTAGAAATGTGGCAAGTGGCTCCATCCTGTTGATACCACGTCCTAGAATTGTACCTACCCTTGAAATTCTTGAAGAGCTGGAACTAGAAACTCTTGCAACATCTGACAATAGTTCTCAGATCTCACTGTCACAGCAACTCCTCTTTGGTTTTCAAAGAAGTATGGCCCAATTATTCCACTAGCCGATATTCCAGCCCATACAATGACCTTAGGGCTATGCAGAGGTCTTTGATGCATCTCGTGGGGATTAGATTCGGACCAAAAGCGGCAATTTTGCTTATTAACATGTCCGTTGACATTAAAGTTTGCCTCATCACTGAAGATTACGTTGAAAAAATTGTTAAAACGTTCCAGCATAACATTAGCAAAGTTAAGTCGAAGATTGGCATCATTAGGATTCAACTCTTGTGTTAACTGAATTTTGTACACTTTTAAATGCAAATCACGGTGCAAAATCCTGCGCAAAGTAGTCCTTTTGATGTTCAAGATTTGGCTTCTTTTGCGAGTCGATTGTCGAGGATTTTCTCTAATCGATTCATGAACGCGTTGAATAATCTCCGGCGTCCGTATTGACTTCGGGCGGCCCGCATTATTTATTTTTACTGTACACCCGGTTTCTTCGAATATCTTAACCCATTTCCGAATAGAATTTGCGCATGGTGCTTCGCTGATTTCATGTAAGCCGAAGTGAACGCTGTACATTCGCCTAGCAACAGTCACAGAATTGTTGTTGATATAATACGCGCGAACACAAAACGCACGTTGTGCTCCCAAGAACGCGTCTATGGCGACTAAAAATTCCACGAAATGGCGCATCTAACGACACCCCCTGCGCCCCCCTACTTTTAACGGTTTTTGAATTATAGACAAAATAAAACGCTCATACTGTTAAGGCCCACCCTGTAATTATGGGTATGGTACGGTCGTTTTGTAAAAGGTGGTGGACGCGTTTTGTTTACCTTAAATAAAGATATAGAAAGATATAGCCTTAATCATTGCAAAAATTTTTTCTTCTTGAAGTGCGAATCGGCCTGCTTCGCAAAGGGTTGGAAATTCTGTTGTTCTTAGCATTGCTCCGATAACGGAGCTAATACCATTGACAAAAATGTTAAGAGCCGTTTCTTCCGTTGTGGCTAAGCGGCTTAATAACGTCTTGCCGCATATTTCGGCGTTTAACTTCTCTATGATCTTATAGCGAAAAAGGTCGAATCTGTGAAATTATTCGGTTAGTGTTACTGTAAGTTTTTGAAACATAGATTGCAGTTCAAGGTTAAGGTGTGCTATGGTTTTAACGTTAGAGAATTTTCAATAAGGAATGTTCTTAATTCCATGAAGCATGTTCTTTACAATGAACGTCTGCCGCATCCTAACCAATAACATTGTTTAACGCGTATACTAAAAGTACTGACTTCTGGTCCGCTGAACTTAGGTCAAAAGCTGAATTGCATGACCTAAGGGATCTATACACTTGGTCGTTATTGTCTGTGTCGAAAGAGGGAATTAATTTAAGTAATGTAGTAATGTCTAACACCATCTTAGTGTTCTTTGTTTTACACAGGCAATGAATAATTGATTTAGTAGAATAGTATAATATAATAATATCTAACAGAATAGCATGATTATATAAAAAAAATAATGTGAGTGAGGTGGTAGATGTAGGAAAATATTTTAGTAAAAATGGAAAACAGGAATTTGAACAAACAAGTTTAGCCACTTACCACAATAACAATAAAATATGGAGCTGCATGGTTCGGCGAAGTTCTTCAAAAGCCTTCAGCTACCGTACGTTGTCTTCTTGTTGGGAGATGCTGTCCCGTGGAATTTGGTACGTTCGCTTCGTCTTTACGCGATTTAAGCGAATGAATCACGCGAGATCCTACCGACTGTGCCAAATTTGTTATGTGACAGAGACAAAAACTCTTTTAAAAATAAATTTATTTAATTATATTATAACTGGAATATAAACTAACCTAAAATATAGAAGCTGATTCAGAGAGTTTGGAAATAGAATTGTGTTGGGGCATTTTTTTTGCGCCCGCAGCAATTAAGGGCAACCCTCCGGTAACGGAGGAGGGAGGTGGAGAATGCTCGTAGCATACCACGCAGCCGGCTGCGTGGTTATGTGGAGACTTTTACCCACTAAACTCCACCTTTTGGGTTTGGCTTACTGATCTGACGAGACATCTTTAAGTCGTAGACAGACCCGACCCTCCTTGGCAGAAAGGAGGGCGCAATAGAAATAGTTGAATTATGAGAAGTAGGTAGAGCTATCCTATGGTATAGATTGAACTCTTCATCTGTTATGAGAGGGATTTGTAGGATGAAAACAATTTTATTGTTAAGGAAATAGCAGGTGTTATGTGGCAGAGACAAAAACTCTTTTAAAAATAAATTTATTTAATATATTTAACTGAAATATAAACTAACATAAAATATAGAAGCTGATTCAGAGAGTTTGGAAATAGAATTATATTGTGGGATCTCGAAGGACTTGGTTTATATGGTGTAGGATCGTAGGAAGCTAGGAGGTGGGGGTAAAGATAAGGGAACAACATTATGCTTGTTTGTGTTTATCGTTAACTTATTCTAAGATCCAATTAAGAATGGTAAACTTTGGAACAATAAACATTAGTATTTAAATATTACGATTTAATTAGTTTAGTTTCTAAGTAAACAAAATAATTTAGTTTTAAAGTAAATAAACAATATAGGAATAACAATATAGGAGTATACAAGACTTTGTTCGCGACGGCCTAACAACGCTAGGAAACAAAGTGATAAAGAATATTGTTTTTGGTATTAATAGTGAAATTACCGACAAAACTGGGTGAAAAGGTTTTAACTAATGTCTGCGTAGTGTGTTGAAAAATGAAATAAGTCCTTGTAAGAGATAGCGTTTAATTACATTTTATTCGCGTGTAACAACAGTGCCGGCCCGATCGTCACTGACTAGAATTCAGTTATATAGGTACTATACTAAGTGTACTAGTTACGTAGGTAGGTAAGTGTGGTTACATCACTCCCCCCCCCCCAAAAAAAAGAAAAGAAAATAGGGTTGTTACATGCTACATTTCACTTATTCTAAAACGTTTGGGATGACTACGAATAGATTTACTCTTAAAAACTAAATTATCAATGAGAGAATAAAGGGATTACAAAATTAGGATAGCTCAACCAGGATTATCTTCTTGACCTGTGCCTAGAGGGTGCTTCTTATTCTTCTTCATCTTCACTGTCTGTCCTGTGTCTTCGTCGCGTGACTATGGGGTATCCTAATTTCATAAGTTTTGATTTCGTATCTTCCGACATCTCTCCAAGTTCGGATGCAACTGACTTCTTAATATACTTATCTATCATAAAAGCATGGCTTGAAATGTGGGTCTGTGACAGCTGGAAGTTCTCGCCGACCAGCTTATTCAGTTTAGAATATGCTATAGCCGCGTAGTATAAGTCAGGGAAATTGGCATGGTTCAGTTCTTGACGGCATGATGGGTTTCTTACTCTACAAAAAGCAATGTTGGGATCCTCAGCTTGGGCCTTTGTCCACCTGGACTGTAAGAGCAAGGCCTGGTCAAGCACTGCAGGTATCTCTAAAGCTCTGCAGTGTGACTTCGTGAATGCAATTCAGTTATATAGGTACTATACTAAGTGTACTAGTTACATAGGTAGGTACGTGTATTGATGTAGTTGTGTAGCATGTTTATAACTCTTAGTATATGGTTGGGCGACGGGCCTAAGTGATCCCGAGTTGGATTCCCAGGTTGAGCCTTGACCTTATTGTGCAAGATGTTATTGAACTGTATACGCGATGGCTTCTTATGCCTCAACAAGATGGCGGATGTGGCACGCGGCACCTTGGACATTGCACTCGCTCTTCCAAAATCTATTGCTTGCCAAGGTTAGAAGGGAATTCTACTTGAGCACATTAGGAGAAACAAAATGGGGCGGGTTAACTAATAAACAAAATGCTCAAATAGGAACAAAAATTACGGAAAACACACTTACCGGGGTGTGATTCTGATGTAGACGATGCTTCCGTTGCAGTGATGCGACGTGAGGTGGGTTCTTCTGGGGCGCCCCAGAGATGTGATCCAGGCTAGTGGTGCGAAGGAAGAGAGCGGTGCGCGACGATATCTCACACTATGTGAGGCGGTTACTTCTGGAGCGCGACTGCTCCAGGTGATGCGATTCAGACTAGCGGCGCGTGGCAAGAGGACGCTCGAGGGCAGCGCGCGAGCCTTTATTGCCTCGGCTTTCCCACCAAACACCTCGGTCGGGCGCGCTTCTCATTGGTCGAAAGAATCGCGTCACCTTCTAGACTCCCCCCTTTTCCCCTTTCAGTGTGTACGGAAGGGATATTAGGTCAAAGGATGGGTAAACGCTTGGCAATATACCCTCGAATAAAATTAAAATACACGAATCGTTTCCGCGTAACCATCCCCCCCGGCTTGAAGGGTCCCCTTCAAAATAACTAACGCTAAGATTAAACCTAATTTTCGACTACAATTTCTAATCTAGAAAGCTAATTCAAACTATTGAATGGGCAAAGGGCACAAACGGACAACAGGGCGCACGTAAGACCCAGTCGTGGTCCTAACGCGAGCTACCCTAGTTACCCCGGAAAAACTTCTTCGACGATCCCTAATGGCCAATGGAGAGGCGGCGTCTTCTCCTTGGTGAGCACAACCACAGTTCCGACAGTTAAGGGTTCAGTTGTTGTGTTCCAGTTTTGCCGAGACTGCAACGTATGCAGGTATTCCATTTTCCATCGTTTCCAAAACGACTGCACCAACCGGTCCAATAATTTATGGCGTGTAGAAATACTAAGTTTGTTCTCATCTATGTCTATGGCGGGCAGATATTTCAAAGGCGTTAAATTCAAAAAATGCTGGAGTTAGAGCCAGCGGCTCCGAGGGGTCACTTGACAACCTACGACAAAGGGGGCGACTATTCATGACGCACTCAATTTAAGCGAGTACAGCACTTAACTCTTCGAAGGACAAAATTTGATCTCCTATTACTCGGTATAAATTACTCTTTAGACTCTTAATATTAGTCTCCCAATTTCCCCCAAAATGGCTCGCGGCCGGACGTTCAGAGACCACTCAATGCGGTTCTCGGCTAGGATGTGAGCGAACTTCGAATTATAATATTTACTGGTTAAAAGCTCATGTAGTTCTGATAAAATACGTTTCGCGCCGACGTATTTTGTACCGTTACCTGAATACAATTTACTTACAGGGCCACGGCGGGAAAGAAATCTTTTAAATGCACCCATGAAGCCCGCTGGGCTTAGATCACCAACGAGTTCTATATGCACAGCCCGAGTAGTCAGACATACGAAAATGCAAACGTAAGCTTTTGTGGATCTTATACCACGCCTGCGAGTGAGCGTGACCTTAACGGACCAGCAAAGTCAGATCCGGTGTGCATAAAGGGCATTACGGATTGTGTTACTCGACATGACTTAAGGTCCGCCATTTCCGGAAACGACGGCTTAGGACGTACTCGAAAGCAAGCCATACATTGTGCGCCCGTTTGCGGATTAAATTACGTGCTGAAAGAATCCAATAATTCTGACGCAAGATTGATATCAGCAAGTCGGGGCCAGTGCGAGAATTCAATTTATGGTGGTAATCTACTAATAAATTCATGATATGGTCCTTACGCGGTAAAACTATAGGGTGCCGTTGGTCGAAACTCAACTGCGAGTTAGATAAGCGCCCACCTACCCTGACGATTCCATCCATCCATCTTGTAAAAATGGCTTAAGACGTTGAAAAGCACGACTACAAGTTCTATTCGATTGTAATCTTGTAATTTCATCGGAAAAATGCGCACGTTGAAGTTCGCGCAATACTAGCAACTCGGCATAGCTGTAATCGGACGCTACGATATACAAACGTCGCGGTAGAAGCTTCGCGAATCGACAAACGTAAATCACGATATGCAATAATTTCGACCAAGAGGACAAACGATTCGCCAAAACAATGATTTTAGAAACCTCGCTCGAAACGTTCGCAACCAGAGCGTGCCTCTTCTCTTCCGGTGGTTGGGACACTGACGAAGGGTCGAAATCGGTTATTGGCCACTGCGAGGGTTCCAAGTGAACCCAAGAAGGTCCGTGGAACCAAAGCGGATGGTCCATTATTTGCATCGGGGTGAGTCCACGAGATAGACAATCGGCAGGGTTTTCCGTACCGGACACGTGATAAAAGTTCCGCGATCCTAACTCGTCTTGGATCTTGACCACTCGGTTCGCGACAAACGTATCCTGACGGTGGAGTGAAGAATGAACCCAACATAAAGCGACGGTTGAGTCAGAAAAGGCAAACATCCTTTCTATGTGAACTCTGTCACTACATGCACTGGTAACTGCGGTGATTAGCTTGGCAAGGACTAATATCGCGCAAATCTCTAAGCGCGCGAGAGAGACAACCTTACGGGGGGAGACTCTTGACTTAAAGCTAATGAGGCTGATCGAATTTCTACCATTATTCTGGACGTGAAAATATACAACGCCCCCGTAAGCCTTCTCGCTAGCGTTTGCAAACCCAACGACAGTGACGACGCTATTTCTATCGACGTTTATATGACGTGGTATTTTATTCTCGCTTAGTAAAGGAAGTTCCTCTCTAAAACGTAGCCACGAACGAACAATGCTATCAGGCGGCGGGTCATCCCAATCGCATTCACATAACCAAAGTTGTTTAATCAAAAGCTTAGCGTATAGCACCACCGGTGCTACGAAACCCATGACATCCCATAATCTAGTAACGCACGACAGCATTGTGCGCTTTGTGCACGTTTCTGCGGGCGGGTTTACCTTGTGCCATGAATGACACCTGTGCGTATCAGAATCGTCGAATACCTTCATCGCCGAAAGGCGGTGTGATAGTGGAATTGTATCCAAAACCGTACGCCAATTACTAGTCCACTTGACGAGATCGAATTGACTCGATTTCATGAGTTTTATAACCTCGGCGGTGGTTAGGATGGCCTCCTCCACGCTATCGACCGAGTACACAAAATCATCTATATACAGTGTGTCTGGTCACGACCTAGCGATAATTTAAGGTTACAAAATATACCTAATTTTATCGACGAAAACACCCATATATTGGGGTCTACGCCCCCTCCTGTCGGAATGGCCGCCATTTAATTTTTTTTATATTCTTGTAGATACCTCTGCCAAAAGATGCAGATTTCTCTGGACAGGAAGGTCAGGCTACAGTCCCAAATAGCAGACAAGAACTGCTCGACAAAATAATGACGATTGCGGATGACGTAAGATCCGACATAGTCTTAATATCAAGGGCCACACAACAAATGGCTGTAAGGTCAGTAGCCTGTCTACAGAATAGAGGTGGACATTTTGAACAATTATTAAATTAATAATAGTACTTAATGCCATTAAAAGTTTCTTAAAAGTTATAGTGTATTTTTATTTAATCCATTATCGAAAATTAATAGCGCTCATATGAGGCTCTACATACATGACCCTCGCAAAAGGGTCATATTCAAACAGCCCTAACTCTCGAGTTATGCAATTAAGAATAATAATTTTAATGTCAATTTGTAAGTAATATCCTTAAGTATTAGGACAGTATTAAAAAATTTAGTATCAATGTGCTAGTTTTTTGAAATATGTTAAGAAAAATAAAAAAATAGTAAATTTTTTTTTACTTAAATTAGCATTGTAAATGTTTTAAGATATTTTGTAAGGAAAACTTTCCATGATTTTTATTTTTATTTGATAGATGCTATTTTTACCTTTTAAATAACATTTTTTTTACATCTGTAGGACCTCTCTGTCCAGAGAAATCTGCATCTTTTGGCAGAGGTATCTACAAGAATAAAAAAAATTAAATGGCGGCCATTCCGACAGGAGGGGGCGTAGACCCCTATATATGGGTGTTTTCGTCGATGAAATTAGGTATATTTTGTAACTTTAAATTATCGCTAGGTCGTGACCAGACACACTGTATAACCCACTCTCAATTGCCTTCTTAGCTTTAGGATAAGAGGGACCTTCATCAGATGCGAGGTGTCTCACCGTGCGTAGCGCATGAAATGGGCTCGACTTTAAACCAAAGCAAACACGATTAAATTCAAATACCATTAGAGGTTCTTTTGGGTCAAAGAGATATAAAATGCATTGAAATCGACGGTCGCATTCACGGACCACCCCTATGCAAAGAAACATTTGGCGAATATCGGCTGATAGTGCTATACTGAACAAACGAAAATTTGCTATTATATTAAATAAATTGCCCTGTAAATTTTGCCCACTATAGAGAATATCGTTAAGAGAAAGGTGAGTGCTAGTTCTAGCACTAGCATCGAGTAAGTAGCAAGTAACTACACGTAACTTGAACGTAAGTTTGTCTTCCCTAATGACACCGTGGTGTGGTATGAAATACGACGGCGCGTCTTCGTAGTTATCTAAATTTGGAGCCACAAGTGATATGTAACCCTCCCTTATATATTCATTAATGACGCCCTTATATATTCATTAATGAAGCTTCTTTTAATATGGGCGAAGCGAGCATCCTGCGCTCCAAACAATAGAAACGTTTTTCCGCCATTTGACGCCAGTCGCCGAGAGACAAAACATCTCCTTTAAAGGGTAGCGCTACACTATATCGACCGTTGCGATCACGAACGGTCGTACGGACGTAAATTTCCTCGCATAATCTATCATCTGAGCTAAATATAGGTGGAACGTTCACCTCCTCCATCTCCCAAAATTTACAAACTAACGACTCGAGCGGTTCGACAGCCATACAACAATAAGAGGTTGCCGAAATATTATCCATGATAGGGGCCGAACCAACAATGACGTAGCCCAAGGCGGTCTCCAATGCGTAAAGCGCGACATGCGACAGATGTTGAGGAATGAATTGATGTCTCACGTTTGTCGTCCGAGTCGTGTGTCACCTGAGTAGACTCATTGTTGCGGCTGTCTAAATGTAGACCAGATGTTGACGGCTGATTAAATGATTCTTCTAAATTAGAGTCGTTTTTCTCCTGGGTAGAATCGGTTTCGTTCGCACCACTAAGAATATCATATAGCGTCATACCTTCATACGTATCCAAATTATCCTTGTCAAATAACTCGTCCAGTGCATTTTTTATGTCGTCATCAGACAATATTTTCGGCATTTTCACCTGCAGTAAATACTGTAATATTATTATCTACACGGGCAGTGGCAGATATATTGCCACCAGTTAAATACAAAATTTTATCAAAATAATAAACGTAATTTTACAAAATACTACTCGATCGTACGAGTGACATACGTAATTATTGAAATAAATGCAAACTCTTACCAGTTTCCCAAAAGATTTTAAAGATTGAGCTAGATTTGTTACACGTTACACAAAATCACCGGTTTTTACCCTTCAAAGTTTGAAAAGTGTCAATTGAATTTGACAATTCCCACACAACAAAAAATATACGTTGACAGGACATCTCAAGCTTGCCAGTAAAAAAAAATACCAGAAAGATAAAAAGTTGCCCGAAAAAAAATTCTAAAATTGGTGGCAATATAGTGGCCACTGCCTTAAAAAAGGGTTAAGGCAGATATGGCAAAAGATTTTTTTATTACATTTTAATTCAGGACGTTTTAATTTAGGCTTTTTAGTTTTAGGTTTTGATTTTGAGGGATGTATGAATAATTTGTGCGTAAGGCGCGGTATGTCGAGGAGTTGCCCCTGTACTTGATTGTTTAATGCAAAAGATGTAGGGAAAAGCGATGCTCCAATGAGCATGTCTACCTGTTCGTATCTCCGGGGACGGCGTAAGTGCATCGTCTGCCAGAGTCAAATTCTCAAAATCGTAATCATTGCAACATTGAGGTGTCGACCGAAACTTTTTGGTTGGCTAGACGCTCGGTGACTTTATCTACTACTAATGCATCTTATAATTAAAGTTCAATACTTACGATCCTTAGCCGAGAGTGAAAATTCTCAAATTTACAGAGCCCTGGGTAATTTTATTGCAGTACCTCCAATGCCTTTGACTGGACTGGACGTATCATGAAGGTATCTTATTTATTAACAATCCTAAACGCTGGCAACATTGTCGCGTTATAAAACGCTCACGCAACTCTGTAATTCGCTGTCTAGCAACGTACGGACACTTTATTCGTTTCCACGCGAATCCCTAACTACGATACGGGCTACGATACAATACTGTATTCGACAGTGAGCACAGGGCGACGTCACCCTGTCGACCGTTAGAAGCGTCGACTTTAGTATGTGTTTCCTTGTCCGAATTACTCGACGCGAATATGTTGCCACCTTGGAAATGTAATAACGTGTGATGTCTGCTGGCGCACTTGTTACACACGGAACTGGAATTGCATTTAGCAACTAAATGTCTATCGCTTAGGCAATTTAAACATAAGTTGTTCGTCTTTACTTTCCATAACATTCGATGGGTGAATGTTTACGGAAGGTCGCACAATTATACAAATTACCGTGTTGTTTATTCTTACATAGAACACAGGCATTATGAGGCGATGTAGGCGCAGCGGTTACGTACGTCAGAGACCCAGCGGTCCTAGTTGATGAGGTCTGTCTGTGATCGACACATTTCTTAACTTCTTGTTTGACATTCGAGGAGCGCTGTATCACTTTAATTTGATCTCGTACAAAGGATGCTAAGGAGTCGAATGACGGTAACTCAGAGCTACGATGTTCCATTTCAAACACACGCACGGTGTCCGAGTCTAGTTTCTTTAAGGCGATATGGAGAAACACCACGTCCATAAGGTCATTAAATTTCAGGTTCTTAAGCGCAGTCACCGATGCTACAAATTTATCTAAAAATTGCTCTAAGCCAGTGATATTCGCGGATGATATAGCTTTCAGATCGAATATCTGGTCTAAATATGAAGAGGCTAACATTCGCTTATCTTCATATTTGTTTTTAAGCGTTTCGAATATTAACGAATAATTGTTTGCTGTTGGTGTGAAACCCGAACAAATGGACTGTGCCCTACCACTCAATTTACTAATTAAATAATACAATCTTTCAGCGTCCGATAACGATGGATTATTATGTACGGTGTTTTGAAAGCTATTAATAAACAACGGCCAAGTTTTAATATCTCCATTGAATACGGGAATATCTATGGGGGGCAATCTAAGTGATTCACGTGGGCGTACCTGGATTTCTGGTTTTGCTTAGCTTTGGGCTGGAGACTGTAAGAGCTTTGCCGTCCTTTTTATGCGACACAACATATCTTCAAATGATAGAAGTGATAGATAGTTCACTGTATACTTAGGGTCGATTTGTAATTCTAAACTATTAATTTTGTCTAATATATTTTCGTAATCCGATCGCAAAGAGTCCACCGTTTCGATTTCACATAAAAACGTTTCCCGCACTGAATCTACGTTAATATTTTTTATGTAATCACTTATATATTGTATACGTGAAAAGAGTACGTCCCTTTTGGGGTAAAGAGTTTTAAGTTTAATTTTATTTCCACTAACTGCCATTTTGAATCACTATAATTAATATTAGATTAATCACAAAGAATGTACAACGAATCGTACAACGTTGGAAGATGAACACAATGCTCTACGTGCCGTATTACGTCGTTAAATTGAACACGTTGTCAGTAATATTTTTTTTTCGTGAAGGTAACTTGCAATCAAACGAGATTACACGCGTCGACTAGATAAGAATTTAAAGCTCGTATAATTACAAATAGCGGGTAAGATAAATAAAATAAAGCGGGTCTAACTATTTATATAAATAAGTATCTATTTACCTATGCGAATAAACTAACCAAAATTTGAATTGAAACTAAAACAAAAACTACATAAATCTATCCAATATTAAATTAGAGTGTATTGTCCAAGGAATTGGTTCAGCAGTTCGACTCGATGAGTAGCTACAGGGCACCAGTTCCAATTCTCCTCGAATGACCAGAAAAATTGTTGGGCGGCGGGCCTAAGGGATCCCAAATTCGATTCCCAGATTGAGCCTTGACCCTATTGTGCGAGATGTTATACTAGGTGAACTGTATATGCGATGGCTTCATATGCCTCAACAAGATGGCGGATGTAGCACGCGGCACCTTGGACAGTGCACTCGCTCTTCCAAAATCTATTGCTTGCCAAGGTTAGGAGGGAATTCTACTTGAGCACATTAGGAGAAACAAAATGGGGCGGGTTAACTAATAAACAAAATGCTCAAATAGGAACAAAAATTACGGGAAACACACTTACCGGGGTGTGATTCTGATGCGGCAGACGACGCTTCCGTTGCGGTGAGGCGACGTGAGGTGGGTTCTTCTGGGGCGCCCCAGAGATGTGATCCAGGCCAGTGGTGCGAAGGAAGAGAGCGGTGCGCGACGATATCTCACACTATGTGAGGCGAGATTACTTCTGGAGCGCGACTGCTCCAGGTGATGCGATTCAGACTAGCGGCGCGTGGCAAGAGGACGCTCGAGGGCAGCGCGCGAGTCTTTATTGCCTCAGCTTTCCCACGAAGTACCTCGGTCGGGCGCGCTTCTCATTGGTCGAAAGAATCGCGTCACCTTTTTTGTTCGGGGGCTGTTTAATCTAGACTCCCCCCTTTCCCCTTTCAGTTTGTACGGGATATTAGGTCGAAGGATGGGTAAACGCTTGGCAATATACCCTCGAATAAAATTAAAATACACGAATCGCTTCCGCGTAACCAGTATATTTGTATAGAATGTCGTTTTGATAACAAGTGATGTAAACAACTTTTATTGTATTAAGAAAAATCGACCAATCGCAGCGCATCTTATCGTAGAACTCTCTAGAAGTTTTTAATTAACTGCGTAATAGTTCATACTGAAAATAATCAGAATAATTTAAAAGAGTTGTAAATATGACATTGAATTAGCATATGGCTTATAGATTAAGGAAGTGTAGGAATATTTTGTATAATTAAACGCATTTGGTAGTTATAGAAAAATCAAAGAATTAATGTACCCAAATATTATGAAAATTTGGGACATTTCGTTTAATAACTTTTTACAATGTTAATGTATTGAGTAACCTTTATGATACACTAATAAAGTACCAGACCACCGATTTGATGATGTATAGCATGTTAGTGTAGCAATTAGTTTTGTATAGAAAATATTGTAATTTATGCCATTTGCATAGTGAAAAGTTTACGCAATAAAGATGCAAAACGGAAAATGGCAAGCAGCTCACTGTAAGATATAGCCAAAGTCTACCTTAGGGGCTAGGGACCCAGTAGGGTAGTAGTGTAAAGAACTACCAGTGACAAGCAGTAATATCCGGTTGTAGCTGAAGTGACTAGTAAGCAGTATATAGTGAATAGTGAAAGTGTTAGCTAGCCGAAAAAGGTCGTAACTGATATTCGCAGTTACACATAATGAAAGTGGTAACTGATATCCGCAGTTACACAAGTGGTAAAATCAGCTAGTTTAGTTGATAATAGCTGCTAGTCAGTAATGTTAGAAAACCAGCTACTACCAATAGATATTTGATACTACCGTACAATTTAAAGAAATCTTTTAAAAATATACAGTGGCCAACCAATAGTGAACAACCGTGGTCAATAAACAATAGTTATGAAATTTCGCGACTAATCAATCAGTCGAACCGCTGGCCACTACCTTGCTATTTGTCTTTATAAATCGTGCATTTTGATTTGAAACTCAGTCTACAATATCTCAGCGGCACTCACAAAGACGGCAGTGGGAGTATCCTCCGGAACCTATAGGTGTAGGGCGTGGGCGACTCGCGAAGTATCTTCGACAACATTTACTCCGAAGAGTTTCGCCCGTCCGGCACAGACTTATAATATAAAATAAATAGTATATAGCAAAATAATAGTATCTATAACATAACACAAGAAACATCGGAAATACTTAAAATTACATGGGTATTATTTATACTTAATGCTACGGGTATCCTGCGTCCCTAGGTAGGTGCCTATCATTATTAACGAGTTCTTTATATAGTTCGACGGGACAAAACACTTGGGTGTAGAATGTTTTGGTTACTTAAAACAATAGCGTTGGTTATGTTCTTCAATTGGAAATACAAGGCTAGTAGCGAAGCTTCGTGACTACTAAATATGAAGTGGACCTTTGATTCAATTAATAAATCATTTGAAATCCTTGTTATATTGTTTGTATTATTAA